AGGGCGCGCAGTTTCATTCTTACGGACGTAAACTCTACAATCACGCGTCCAGACAAACTTGTAGCCCTTCTCTCTGGCAGCCTTCCTTACGTTACTTAACAAAAACTTATTCGCAGGCGTCAGATGTTCGTTGATGAAACAGCGTTCAGAGACACCATCAATAGACAGGCCAGGTGGCGAACCCGGAGGACCAGAACGCTTCTTTAGCTTTGCAGCAGCCAGAAAGTTATCTCTGGTGAGACGACTACAAAACCTGACCACAATACCCTTAGGATTCGTTCCACGATTTTGATTTTGATTTCCAGGACCGTGCGGGACACGATGAGCTGCGTCCACATCCGTTGAAGACACAGGAACCCCAATAAAATCACCCATGGTTTTCAACACCATCAAAAGGTCTTCATTATCTTTTTCCGGAACGCCTTGTAGTTCTAAGTTATTTCTTCGGGAGTATTGTTCCAGGTCACCAACACGACCAGACAAATTATCTACTTGTTTGCGCAGCGACATATTTTCGGCATTCAGCTTATCTATAATCTTCAATTGATCCTGAAAGCGTTTCACAGTCGCCTCAAAATCTGTTACCCGCTGACTACAAAATTGTACCGACTCAACCAATTCATCATATCGTGAAGTCATTCTCTGCATTTCTGTTCGCATTTCTCCAATCATCTCGCAAACAGTTTCAAGGGTGACAGAAGAAACATGATCGGCAGGAGTACCAGGAGGGGCACCAAAGGAATGAGATAGGCGTCGCGACGCCACCGGCGGCGGCGATCTGCAAGTGGAACACCTCCATGATGCGCCAGCGACCGATAAGGCGACCGCAGACTCTCTGGCGATATCCACGCATTTGGCATGAAACCACGCCCGGCAAGCGTCACACTGAACTCCAGGGGTGTCTCTCCCCACCAGTTGACTACACCTCCCACAAAATTTCTTCTTCACTGGCATAACGACCGGTTTTATCGAGAAACAAGATTTACCGAAAAATGAAGGCGAAAACCTTAAAAACTTTACACCCGTTTTAACGAAAACTCTCAAATTAGAGAAGATAATCACTAAATCACCGCAAATGTATACCAACTCATTAACGTATTTGTATCATCCAAAAAAGACGGAGCACGAGAACAAACGTGTATTGAATCGTGAACTGTTAGTTCTAATGTTTTGTTAATCTTATGATTTAAAAATCTGCATTTTGCTTTTATATCCTATATTAATAAAATTCGGCATTTCGCTATAATTTAACATAACAAACATTTTATCTTAATCAACTTTTGTTGTACACTGCTCAGAAAGCTCACTTTACCTGCAAGGGTTAACAAACTTCTTGCGTTAACTTTGGTACCTTGAGGATATTTGACGTAAAACTTGGTTATATTTCGTTTTATGACATCCAGACTTTAATTGCAAAAGATGAAATTTGACTTCAAAAATTTATCATCAATTATACCTTACGGGGACACAATCCGGGGACACACTGTATATCATATATTAACGTCATATTTTGACAAATCTTATAATTCCTGACACGCTTTGTATTTAGGCCTAAAATGTGGTATATGTTCCCGCTAAGCAACAATTAAGGTAGACAATAGATTAGCAAGACCCTCTTTCAAAAAATCGATAATCTAAATAAAATTAGGCGGATTAGTAACGTTTTCACGTTCGAAAATTGATTAATTTTTGCAATAATTAATGTAAAAGTTTGAAATTCCCCACCCCCGACTCCAGATGACGTTTTTTCTTCTGTTTTCTTCTAGCGCATAAGATTCGTAGCATTGTCTCTTTCCAGGAATTGTATTGATTTGTCGTTCAAATCCGAGTGACGTATTTTGGAGCTCCAATCGTACGCTCAAATCTGATCGTGAGTGACAAACTTTCGAGTTCGCGCCCTGTAATTTCAAACTTTATTATTTTTTTTTGGAAAAACTAATCCTCAGAATCAAAAATTAAAAAATATAGGGTCAATCAATTTTAAAAAACTTTCGAATAAGCCAATAAAAAAAAAACTTAACGGCCCTATTAATAGGTCTTTAGTTGAAATTTTGTTTAGAAACAAATGATTTATTATTCATCATAACATTATCATATTGGAATATACTAAATTACAAATCAGAAAAATCAATTTCATCTTCATCGCCACCGATAGCCCTCCAAAAAGCGGTAACCATCTCTTCAGCTTGCAATTTGCGCTCATTATGAGGTAAAGATTGAATACTTTCCTTCATGCTTTGCAATTTGGAAAACAAATTAGTAAAATCGTCCATTTGAGACATACAACTATCAATTCCATTTAAAAGGTTATCTAAATCTTTGTTAACCCCTAACTTATTTTCAGCATTATTCTCATTACTTTCCAAAGGTTTATCAATTTCTTTGCTTTTCATCACTAAATTAGGCCAAATATGGCTTTGTAAAGCTTCCACAATCCGCTCAACGCCAACCTTCTCTTTAATAATCTCATCATTTTGTTCCAAATTGTCTTCATTGTTGGGATAAAGCTCAATTAATTCATATCCGTATCGAAGACACCACTCAATTGCCATCGGTTTAGAAATTTTAGTATCGTTATTACAATAATTAGCTATTAATAATTTAATCTCCGGGTTACATTCATCATCTAAATCTTGCCAAACTTTTAAATCATCTAAACCAGATTCTTTATTAGTATCTATATGAATTATTAAAGCTTCAACGGAACTATTAAATTCGCTGTCCCTTTTATAATCTTTCGTTATTCCATGTACGTTGACGTTAGCTTTGTAGTATTTAGTATCCAAAATCCAGGATGTTGATACTTTATCAACACTTTCTGATAAATTTACTGTTTCTTTAGTTATTAACTTTAAAAGAGATTTTGGTTTAGTGCTACTACTACTAACTATTAACACACTTGGTTTGCTTAAATCTTCACTCATTATTTAGATTAAAATACACCGATATTATAAGTAAACATAACCATAAACTGATGCTATGTGTCAAAATGACAGATTGCTGTTAGTGCGTGAGGTTATGTATGCGTCATATGTCACATCGTTATGAGAATTGCGCAATAGATGGAGCAATGTCATTTAAATGTATTTTAAAGTCTGTCTAAATTCAAAATGTAATTAATGCATTCACATTATTTACAAATAAAGTAATCCTTCAAAATATTAAATAGTAAATACATTTGCTTCAAATCGCTTTTTATTCTAATTAGTTAATAAAGGTCAATATGACCATCTTCGTAAAACTAATGTGTTATTGATATGTACAGGATGGTTCAAATTCGATGTCCGAATAGGCTAACTCGGAAACTATAAGAGTTAGAAAAAAAGTAGCTTCCATGTCATGATCTCGCTTTTCGAGAAACTGCTAATGCTAAATAATGCTGTTTTTCCCCTAGAGGCCAATATTGAAAATATCGTAAAACCAATAAGTGCAATTATCTTGGTTATTATTATAGGTGGAGTATTATAACTACGACATTATATGGACACTTTTTTACAGTGAATTTCATGACATAGTCAAAAAATTTTCGTTTTTTTAAATGGAAACAACCACTGATTATTCGCTTATTCAATTCGTTATTTTTTTCTGATTACAAAAATATAAGGTTCGACAGGTCTATTTCTTATTGTTTTATTGTTAGAATAAAGCTAAAAATCCATCCTGTACTTACGCACCTAACAAGGACGAAATAAATCAAGAAAAAGGTAAATTTTACGAAAAAATTTAACAATTTCTAGATGAAATAGGGGATAGCAGAGAAATCATAATGATGGACAATTTTGACGGAAGAACCGAATACAAGTTAAATAATCGTACTGTAGAACGATATAGTGAAGAACGCACTAACGAGAATAAAGACCCCAAAATTACAAACGACCCACTAAACAATTAAAATCAACAATAGATTACGTTATGATGAAACAACAAACACAACTTCAAGTGCGAGTAACTGAAAAGAAAGAAGCTCATCTGAAGTGAATAAACATCAAAGACTGTGATGATACAACAAGTGGGATCAAAATTATAGAGAAATTGACATGTATGCAGGAGGTAGAGAATGTACGGAAGCTTAGAAATTCATAGAAGATATAAGATCTGAGAAGAAAACTAACCTTCAACCAATTCCAGCTGATAAGTCTACAATCACAGCCATTGTAAAAGTCATTGAAGAGATCACAACAGCTCACGATCATCATGGAAAGGCTAGTATAACCTGCTGTGACCTAAGTCGTGCATTCGACACTGTTAACCACGAAATATTGTTAACCAAGATGTCAGCATATGGAATACGAATAATTCCACTTGAATTAATGAAATCGTACCTTAACAATAGAAGCCAAACTGTGAGTTGGTGTGGTGAAAGATCAGAAATGAGACCATGCAAATATGGGGTGCCCCAGGGGTCGATATTAGGTCCGATATTATTCATCATCTACATGAACGACCTTCCACACAATGTAAAAAATGTTACAACTTGTTTATATGCAGATGACATATCGTTCGTGGTAAAAGGTACAACATCGGCGGAGATCGAGAGAAGAACGAATGATGCCGTTGATGCTACAATTGAGTGGATGCGTGCAAATAAACTTCACATAAATGACTCTAAAACACAAACTTTACACTTTTTTAATTGTAGTGAAACATGCGTTAAATTTCTTGGGCTGACATTTGATGCTAAGTTGAATTGGCACAATCACGTGGACGCGCTGTGTAAACGTTTGACGTGTGGTGCGTATGTTGTGCGTCGATTGATGAATTGTGCTGATCAGAACATTGCTAGGGCAGCCTACTTTTCGACTTTTCATGCCATCGCGACCTATGGGATCACCATCTGGGGCTCTTCGTCGGCTGTGGGAAGGGTGTTAATACTGCAGAAGCGTTGTATACGTGCTCTGGAAAACCTACAAACGAAACAAACATGTAGACCGTCATTTAAAAAATTAAATATACTTACATTACCGTGTGTATATATACTTACATGTTTATATTATGTACACAGCAGTGAACATTTTAAAAGAAATAACTTTAAACACGAGTATAATACTCGTAATAAACATTTGTTAGAAGTGCCGTCTAAATTTGACCAGACAGGGCGTCGATTATCACGGCGTCAAACTTTATAATAAATTACCACCTAATGTAAAGATGTTGTCCAACACGCGATTTAAGGTATATGTACGTAATTTACTAATAAAAAAATCCTATTACCCCCGTGAGGAATATTTTCAGGACACTGACTGTTTTATTTGTTAACTTATTTGTTGTTTGTTAACTTCTTTGTTATTTGTACTCCATCTGTTTGTGAAGATATGATTGTAACTGTAATGACGTTTCATGTAATGTTTATTGTATGAATAAAGAACTATTATTATTATTATTATAAGTGGGAAGAATATTACAGAAAGCTACCGAAGATCGACCCGCATACCTACACGAATGAAAAGCCACAACCAATAAATATAGAAGGGAAGAGAGTAGAGATAAGACCAGAAGACATGAAGAAATCAATTAAGAGATTAAAGAACAGAAAGACAAAAATAATCATAAATGCATGATATAGGGTCACGACAGAAGCTTCTTTTTCGACTAACACCTATTTTCTGATGAGGTGCCTTCACCCTCATAGAGTGAAATCATCGAATAATTTTGTTGTTGCCCTTTGACAGTGGAGATCCAATGATCGATCTTTGACGATCTGAAGCATTCTTTTTGGCATTCCAATCACTACTATATTCGTCACCATCAACGCTTACTCCAGTTACCTTAAAGTACTTCAAAGATTACCTTTTTGCTATCATCCATACTGAAAAGTATGAGAATCATTTTGATTTTACTCCAATCATTTTTGAGGTTGTTCATATTTATTTAGGTTACAACAATTCGCTTTAGCTCAAAATCGTTCCAGATGACGAAAAGACTCGGGATTTTTATCTTCGGAAAATATCTGCGTATTGTACGATGATCAAAATAAATATTTATACAATATTTTCTACCATATTAACTTGTTATATTTTGAATCTGTTATTTTGTTGTTTTTGTAAATTATATAACAAATCATTTTTTAAAACAATTTTACATGGCACACTACACTGCGTAAATGTTGAAGTTAGCTCACCTCGCATGCACATTTTAATTGCAATATATTTATTTTAGAGTTTTTACCCATTATTTATAAAAATTACAAGTTAATGTCATTATTTTCATGATTTTAGATTAAAAGAAGAATTTTGTTAAATTACTTATAATGCGATTAGCGTAGTATACTTTACAACATTCAATCGTTGCGAAATCAACATCATTTGTTTAAAATAATACATGCATTGAGTGATTTTAATCAATATGATATCCCGAAAAGAATGTATCTTTTAATATACAGGATGTATCTGAATGACGTGCCCAAACTTCAGGGGTGATTCTTTAGTGAATTTTAAGGGTACTTTAATATATAAACCATGGGCGACTTCGGCTCCTCTAAGGAGCTACACCCCTCCACCAAAAATGATGGAAAATTTTGGTTTTATTTTTTTTTTCTCAAAAACCATAAACGCTAGGAAAATGAAATTTGGGGAATATGTTTAACTCATAGTAAGGCATGTTTTGACCCTATTTGTATTTACAACCTGCCCTTCTTAACTACTAAACGTAACCACCTCAGTTCAATTTATGCCTAGATTTTGTTTTATGATGATAATAAATACATTGGAAAAATTTCAGTTAGATAGATAAAACTATTCTAAAACTTTTTTGTCTCTCTGATGTTCTTCTAAAATTTAATAATTTCTGAGAAAAATACTAATTAAGCAAACACTAACTGTAAAGCTGTAGGGTTGTTAATCGAAAGTTGGAATGAATTTTTAATGAAAAAAATCTTACAAGGGAAGTATCAGAACTGTCCCTCACCGATATTGTTGAAATTTGGTACACCGATAGTATGGCCAAAAATAAGGTTTACGTATTTTTTTATACGTGCTAATAAAGCCCCTGGGG